TGAATACGGCGTTTTCACAGTGCTTAGGAGTATTAGGATTTACAACACTTCACTTTTCAATGATTTGCGGAAGGCGGACCTGCGTCTATAAGGAGACCATTGTCGCCAATTTTTGGGTACACCGCAAGCTTTTGTGCGGCGGCGAGGATTATTTCAAACGGAAACTACCAAAGCACGAGACGCCTTCTAAACGTCTAATTATGGCGAGGCACATACCGCCCACTACCACGACTGCAAGTGTTAACTGCAGAAATCTTTAACAGCCGATGAATATAATCGGTTACAGTAGTAAATATCCATTAAAAATATTTTTAATGCCCCCAGTTTGAGAGCAGAAAACACCAAGTATCTTCTACAACCTATGCTACTCTCGCCTCAACTCGAGCGCCAAAGCGCTAGAAAGGCGGAAGGCTCTTCACTCTGAAAGCATATCATTAATTAAATACAAATGCCATTGGAGCAGCAAAAGCAAGCTTTCGCTGGGCAAAAAGGAACGGGCTGGTAGTTGGCTAAACCTAATTAGAAGCTCTAATATTCGAAATTTTAGCTCGATCAAGCACCAAAAACGTCAGCATATATTAAAAATGGTTTATTTACTTAAAAATATGTATTATTGCGTTATCAGCTATAAGAGCTATTGTTTAATTATTATATTTTTAATCTTTCATTTTAAAGATTATTGTGTCAGTAAATCACCGAGAGGTATGAAGAGGGAAGTAAAGTGAAAGACAAGGACATCTATAGGGCCATATGGAAATAATTTATGTTTATAATTATAGCAATTGCTCTTTACTACATTTTTTCTTAAAAACGGAAAAAGAAATATTTCTTTCAACAAGGAGTGTGTTAAACTCATGAAAGCTACGTTCTAACACTCGCATCTAAATATCGCTGGCTAAACAATCTGAATTGGGGGAATAGACCCTCAGACCTTTGTCTGAGGGCTAGAGGAGCGTGTATCGCTATATAGATATGCGAGTGAACAATGAATTTTGCAAGCCCGTACCTAATTTATCACACAAAAAAATCTTTAAGTACTAGCTGTTAAGCAACGTAGCAATTTTTTTAACTCAAACCGAGCAAATCTTTTCAAAATTGCTATGTCGTAAACGGTAGTTACACATGGAGTAAACAAATAACAACGGTTAAAAGCAAAATTTAAAGAACAGAGGGGAAAAGAAATTTATATATACTGTTATACGTAGAGGTCTCAGCTTACACATTCTCTTGTACCATTTGATTATACGTGTTTGCTCAGTGGCAGATGTGGTGTTATTTAGGCAGAAGGAGGAGGGATTGGTTTATTAAGGAGCTTGAACATTTACCACATTACCAATTGGAAAGGACGCTTTTAAAGGTCTTGCCAAGTTGAGAATCCTCCTTACTACAGTGTTTTAAGCTTTAATTTTATATTATGTACTATATACTATATTATTTTATTTATTTTTTATAATAAACCGGAGTTGTTCTACACGTAAATATGGTAATGCAATGAACATAACTCTCCAATTAACTTATTTAACAAAGAACTGAAAAAATTAACTGAGAGTAGTAAAATAGAACTGACCTGTTAATATAAGAATGAAAAAATGTCAATACTGCAGTAAACATGGAAATTTTGCCAGACCTTGTTAAATTAAACCGAAAATATAAACAAATTTTATAAGCAAGTCCTTTAAAACAAGAAATAATTAGTATTTTTAAGACAATTCCTTAAATCTAATAGTTGGCACAAGCTCTACCATCACTATATCAGGTTCATCAATTCAATTTATTAATTTAGTTGTAAATGTAAAAAAAGAAGTTAAGAAGTCTAACGTTAAAAAGATAAATAAAAATATTAAAGTTTTTGAGATGAGTTAATATTATAGAAAAAATTAAAGTGATTTATAACCCAACTTTGACCACATACTACTATTTATAGGTAAACTGATAAAAGTGATCTCACACTGTTTGGTAAAAAAAATGTTATAATAAGAAAGAAGGTAAAGTACTAGCCAAAGAAGAATGATTAACGCGGCTCACGTACTAAGTACTGATAAAATGTCGCACTACCTACCGAAAAAGTAAAAAAAGGAGAAATGAGATACTAATAGGACACTTTAATACAACATACAAATACATCATCTCGCTCCACTCATAAAACCCTATTACTTCTGTAATGCGTTATTTATGCAACCATAGCTCATAGTTCTCGGAGGCAGTTTTCTGTTTAACAAGTGTCTCGGAAAATAGCAAAGAAAGTTTTAAGTTAATTATCCCTAACTAGAGGCTTGTAGCCCTCTTTTTCTAACGTGAAAACAGAAAGCAGAACGTATATAAGATACTAAGATTTTTGGGAAGTGACTACTTTTCAATGCGATCTACAAGGGAGATATAATGTTATCAACGGCAATCCTATACATTGGCGCTAAATATTGATAAAAGAATTTTACGAAGAGCTTCATGTAAAGCCGAATTCATATTCCTTTAAAAGGTGTCGGTTACCATTGCTTTAGAAAATTTTTATCAGATTTCTTACCTAATAATGCCTCCAGTTAATGTCTAGGACATGTGGATACTATATACCACGACATACGAAAACTCTAGAGATATTATAGAAAATGATGGCTGCAAGGAAAAGTAGATGGTAAAGAGTTTTGCTGAAATAATATGGGCAATTAAATTTTTTTTTTTTTAAATCCCATATTTCAATTTTTCTTTGTTTTTTTAATTTATTATTTGTTTTATTTACCAAATGACCCAAACTAAACCTCCATTATTTATTTTATCTACACATATAAAAAGAAAAGAAATAGGTGAAAAACAAAAGTTTTAATACAGTCAAGCCGGCTGGCTGGTAACCAATAATTAATAAGGTCACCTCACATTTTTTACTTTATGCTCCTATTTTAGGTTCGTCATATAAAGTACTTTAAGATGGTGGCAGGGCTATTAATTTTGTAATATGCAGTGATTATTTCAACACATGGAAAATATTAAAGTAATTCTTTCTTCCGACTCGCGTTTGAACTAACCTTGCGCTTATGATTGATCATTTTAAAAGAAAAAAGGGGTCTAGAAATTTTCAACCGCGCGCCTTAGAAGTAAACTCATACCAATGCGAATTTACGATCTGAATTCTTACTGTTGTTATCGTCATCTATATAATAGAAGAATAGAACAAAGTACTGGACCTACAAATGCTGTTTAGGTTAGTTTGCTGCTAAAAAAAGTTATTCGCTGTGTCTAGTCGCAACACTTTTGTTTAGTAGTCTCTAGGCAAGCAATATACATGTTCTACATTTTCAGCATCTCGCTCGACTGTTAATCTCGATTAACTACGATATTAACTTGGCTATTGTCTTTTCCGTTATAAATAAAGGAATGTTAGGCACTTGTAGGGTTATAAAAAAGGCAATGAAAGTGATACCTTTAATGTACTTTTTAAAACAGTACACACTTTGTTATAGCGGTAAAGTTAATTAAATTTAATAACGAACTTCTACAACAATTAATTTCATCTCTCTTTCCTTGTGCCTTCCTCTTCCCTACTGATTAGCCCTTTTGTTCTTCGCTAATTATGTTTATATTTATAACTTCGCATTACTATTTTCCAATTCCTCACTTTCATTTTAAAGTTAATACCTAACTTACTATTTTAAAAATTATCCTCTTTATTGGTTTTTGTACACTATCTTATAGGCCAGAGAAAAATGGTCAATGAAAACAACAGACAAGCAATATAAAGGCTAGAATTTAATAAAACATTAAAAGGCAAGATTCCTTTAAACTATTATAATAAACAAATAAATTTAAAAAAGAGAGCAGACATTACTAATAAATGGACCAACAAAAAATTAGGTAATGGTACAAGTATAACTTGTCTATTAAAAGGTAAACTAAAAGATCCTCCTGTGGTTAAGTGTTTATTGTCTGCAGGTGGCCCACAGTGCACAGCTTCCTTATTCCCTTAAGTTTTTTTTAAGTCAATTAAAGTTTCTAACTAAAAACTTATATTAACAAAAATTATTTTATATATTCTTTGACCTTCTAAAAAGCAGTTACGTTTTTAAAACAATCTAAATTGCTTACTATACAAGAAATAAAAGTTATTTATTGAAAAGAGTAATTCAATAGCGACAAATTCAAAAAAAAGAGCGAGAAGGGTAACAGGAAAAAATTCTGAGAAATTGCAGAAGGAAAAAAAAAGGAATAAAGGGGGAGAGTACAGCATGTGAATATTTCTCAAAATACTTGAGCTAATTGTTTTTTTTTAAGTTTAAAAATACTAGTTTATTTAATATTATAAAGTATATAGGAAATTTGTGGTAAATTTATTTAATTAATCTTTAAAACTTCATTTAAATTATAAACTTTTACATATAATATAAAAGTTTCTACTTCACTGCAACTCTCGCCAGCGACGACGAAGTCCACCAATTACTTGCTGTTAGAAAGTTTTTTGGGGAAACATTACCTGTGAAGTGCCAATTCCTCTGAGTAAATTTCGCCTTTTATTTAAGATTATAAGTCTTCTTAGTCAAACGCATCATATAAATATATAAAGAACTTAGGTAAACACAAAAAATATATAACTCTATATGACGTCTTTCCCCTAAATTTTTATGAATTAATAATTTATACCAAAATTTCAGCAACTTCACTTAAAAAATGAAAAATATGATACATGTATATATAAATAAAATAAATGACAGGAGTGGAGGGCAGTGAAATGAGCGCTTGAGATCGAAAGCAGATCCGCAACTTACTAGAGGAGCTTCCAGGTCGAGAAGGTAAAGCACAAACTTAAGAAGAGTTTCAATGATTTTTATTGACTAGCCATGCCAATTTTCTCGCACTATAAAAGAAGCCAATTTAGGGGGGTGCAACCCACTCAGTTAAGCTAGCTAGGAAGCAGCAACCAAGTTATTAAGCCCTCGAGAAATCAATATCGGAGTTAGTTACCACTTAATACTGTCAACATCCGCGACCGGCAAATAAATTCGCGGTATCACAAAGTGGACCTTCATCCTGAAAATTACTCTGGCCAATGATGGCTCAATCCGCATTATGAAAGACATTGTGGAAGCGAAGACAGCTATCAATATACAGCATATTAGAGTAGAGAATCCATCGCGAGTTAAGTTCCCAACCTTGACTACTTTTAGCACACCAAAACCTAACAAAAACAATAGTAGAGTAAGCTACTCTTTACAGCGTGACCATGAAAAAAAAATTGTGAATGGCATTAAAGTAAAGTATGCGGTGAAGTATACAAGTTTTTGTCACAACCACCAGTATAATTCTTACTTTAAGGTGTTATACTAGCTGGGGCAAGTATATTGCTAATCTTTGACCGCCTTTGTGTACGCGAGCGGTAAGTATTTTACGAATGTACTTCCCGAAAAGGTAGTATGTAAGGCCAGCATCTACAGTAGTTAGGCTACGCGTGCCGCAACGGTCCCAGTCACCGTGCAGAGATCAGCCATAGTCACTTCCCACTCGTGGGTGTTCTAAGCTCTCTACTCGTGTCAGAAAGTACAAGAATTTAAAGTTCAACATAAACTTGGCAAGTTTCTCTTTTAAAGAGCCTCCGAGGATTCTCTAATTCATTCGTACGCTGAAAAGTGACAGCTTCTAACAGGAGCCAAAAAACAAAGTCATATACCTTATTCACAGTTATCAAATTAAGATAATTTTATATTCACGGTTAGTCTTTGCTAGTTAATATTATTACCTCAAAATTCTTCTAAAGTTGACTATAAAGTCTGATAAAATAACTTTGAAATAAATTTCTAAAGGGTATTTTATTGTAACGTTTCAGTTAATTGATATTTTAATTATAAATATAAAACCGAATATTTGTAAATAAAATTTGAAAAACTTATTATACAGTTTAAAAAAAAAGAAATTATATATTATAGAGTGAATATACACCCGTCAACCTCTAAAGTTTAATAACCAATTTAAACTTAGCAAAGGTATAAATTTTAATATAAGTAAAAACCTTTAATATATATATATATCAAAATTCAGTCCCTGAAAAAAAGTAATTTAATATGTATTAAAAATAATATAGTTACTATACTTTTTTCACATAAAAAAAATGAGTTAATGAAAGTTATACCAAGTTCTCCTGAATCAAAATTAATTATGCTGCAATAGCCATCTCTCGAGGAAACGAACAGCATCGAACCGTCAGGGGACCTGTAAAAGGGCGTAAAAGGGCGTAAAAGATAACCTATACCACACCGGAAATATTAATGCTAAAACCAACAATCTTTACATATCTAATCATAAGTATTATCACGTAGTGGATTCTAAGGTCAAAAGATGTTTAAACACAAGCAAACTCGCTAACGGGTATCATTTTGTTGAATTATGTCTTTTAGTTTTGTTATTTAATAAGTAAAAAGAAAAAGATTATAAAGTATAAATTTACTGTCTATAACTAAATGTTACTTTTATAAAATAAAATAGTGATCCACAAAAACAATTAAGACTAAAAGTCTCAAAACGCAGAGAAATCACCACGATGCATCTGTAAGTGATGCGTAGTGTAAGTTTGCAAGAGCAGCGAAGGGATGGCTATGTTGGGTGTCATATAAAAGCACAGAGTTTAACGTGACTACGGAAAACACGTGACGGTATGGTAAGTCGAAGAGAGGTGCGCCTATTTTATTTTAATTGCCCCGTTATACGATAACTGAAATAGTTTATAGATTAAAGACCTTTTAACGGCAAACGATTAAACTTTACAGGGCAGAAACGCACTGCTACAGCGGGTTTTTCGAGGCCAGGAAAGCATATAACTGGCCTATAAAGACACAGATGATAAACAGTTAACGAATAAGAAAAAGATTAAATAATTTTGTAGAGATTCACATATCAATGTTCTTATTATTTTTAGATTTAAACAACTTCTAGTAAAAAATAAATAAGGTGACCTTGATAGATTCTGTCTAGCGAAGCCGTAAACGCAGTACTCCTTCTCTTTTAAACCTGCAGGAGTCAACAAAAGTCGACCATCGGGCGAGAATTCAAGCCTAAATATTTTATTTTTTTTAAGCAAAAATAACAGTTTTCTATTCAATATAACTTTTTCTAATCATAATTAAAATTGTAAACCAACATTTAAGGCTAATCAAATTTGATTGTGGATTGTGTATATCTTTTATATAAATACTCTATGACAATGATTCTAACCAATTCTGAAGTCTTAATCTAACAATAATTTTTTTAATATAAAATAACTTTGTTATTGGAAGAAACTTTGAGTGTGGCGAAAAGTATTTGTAAAACAACAATAAAACTAACTCTAGATTACATAGAAGGACGATAAAAAAAATTTATTTTGAAAAAAAATTAGCTATATAACTTAAGATGTGGCCAAAGTAACCGCTAATAAATAAGAAATTTCATAAAACATAACAGTGAAGTTGTTATAAGATAATTCTTACTGCTCCTGTACAACTTAAATTTAGACAAATTATTTAATTTTAAATAAAAATAAAAGTTAAAAATTATAAACTTATTAACAACAGAAAATATTTAATTATAAGGTAAGATTAAGTTACTAAAATAAAAGAAAGAGAAACTCAAGAAAAACCGTCGAAAAAAAGTATTTAACGTCTCGTCAGCAAAAAGGCGCTTCTTAACGACGGTATCTTCATCCAGCTAAAAAAACATAAATATGAAATCTACAACGCTTAAAGAGGAATGGCAGAGACCCGACCTGAAGAGTTAAAAAGTCAATGTTGAAGCTGAACTTGCAACTGACAGTCCCATGCCCCTTTTCTTTAACTTTGTAAATACGACAAGTTCTGAAAAGCGAAATTGATTTATGACAAAAAACTAAAATTCAAAATAAGGTTACAAAATAACCTGTCACTGCTTTGAGAGGCAATAAAGTTATTTAAAGGATCCCAGGTTATACCTTGAACGTAATGACGATGTTCCATAAGTTGTTGAAGAGGTTTTGCTAGATAACATTTAATAAAGTATGACAGAAAGATTGTAGTTTAAGCTAAAGCGATAGTGCAAAAGTTAGCTTTAAAAAAAAAAATAAAACGTGGCGGATACTATTACGTCTAATTACCTGCAAATTTAAAAAAGTAATTTATGAACTTTATACAAAAGGTAAAAAAAAGATATAAATAAAAAATTTAAAGCGCTTTAAAACCTTTAAAGGCATCCCACACTACGGCAACATTATCAATAGATGCTGAGACAATAAACTTGCCACAAGGGGACCAGCACAAGTCGTAGACGTCACCTCTATGCATCCTTATGTTCAAGCAAAGTAATATAATTAAAAAGGTTACAAAATAGTTATACACTACCTTAAAACGTGCAAAACTTGCCAGCCTTCTAAATGACCACTCTCCACATCTTTGGGAGAAAGTTCTTGATTTTGTTTCCAAATAATAATTGTTCCATCTCCAAATATAAAAGTGAACTTCTGTTACAATTTTGTTACTATCAGTAAAGTTTATTTTATAGTTCTACCATCACTGCCAGAAGAAATAAAGTTTTCACAAGGGGAAAACCGAACAACATTTACAGTTGCTTTGTGACAAGACAGGGAAGAAATGAAAAAAATTTTAGAGCAATTGGCCTCTTCACGAACTGGCATAGACCATAACTTAAAGATAATTAAACAGTTAAGTTGACTAAAATTTACTTTAAAGCTGTTTTGAAAAAGAAAACTACTTAAGGTGTTACCTTTACATCGTTATCAGCACCAGCAGTTGCAAATCGTTTTGCACTACAATGCACACTAAGTACTGGCTCTTTTTCATGCCATGATATTTCAAGAACCGTCCCTTTCATCACAAACTATCAGACAAAAGACACCACTAAACAGAGCAGAAGGATCATCCGTTCTGTGGATAAGGTTCTTCCGTAGTGCAGATGGGAAGCCCTGCTTTGTGCGCCCTGGGTTCTTAAGCGGTCGGGCTTAACTAAACCTCTGGTAACTTTTATCTATTGTGCGACTATAAAAGATGCTAAGGTATGTAGCAGAAAATGCCTCGGCCGCATTTTTATTAAATCATTTGGACCCTTATGGTAGGTGAATATCAAAATAAGGATATTTATTTCGTTAATGGCGAAAGGCGAGTTTCGCTAACAGAGCATAAGTTAATTTTTTGTTGCAGCGTAAGTCATTAATTAGGATTTCTTCGGCGTTTAATAACAAAACCTGAGAGTCAAAGCGTTTTACGCCGACTACAGAAACGCAGTTATCATGCATTCCGCCTCCCTCACAGCGACATGTAAAGTTGCATGCCGCTCATATCACCTGCCTAGCGAGTTGAGAGCCCTTTTTTGCTAGTCGCACTGCCTCTGTATTCGATACAAGGTTACTTTTAGTTATCTAAAAGTTAGTGCATTAAATAAAGCTGATGGCATGGTACCACAGCCCGAGAGAGGCTGGGTTGAGCGACATGTCGGAGGCGAATAAGTAGCGTGCAGATGACCATCCTACCGCCAAGACAATAGTGAAGCAGAAAGCGATGCTAAATCGGCATCCTTGCATATTATTTTACGATTTAGTAGCTCCCTACTTGACTAAGCGGAACAATCGTGTTTCAATAAAAGCTACGAAGGCTCTCTCTTTTAGCTTCGTAAAACCGTTGGAACGGATGCGCATAAAGGCCTTATTCGCTAGTTGCACGCCCTAACAGTCGTGGTGTCCTCCTAGACAATTCTTGATCCATTTTGCACGACTGCGCTTCCTGCGTGCTGACAGGCATGATTTAGAATACTTTGTAGATAGGTTTTAGCATCATCATTTACCAAGCAAAACCGACCGATTCCCTGGTTAAAATCGTTAGAAATTTAACTTTATGTTGGCTGTTTCTACATAGCAGCTTTGCACTAGCGTGGAAGTAACAATAAGGATTAATATTATATCCTTGGTAAGATCTCAAACCCAAACTAGTAACTTACGAGCTACTCGGAAGAGAGTAGGGCCTAAAGTGTCTTAAAAATCTTAACTGTTTCAGCCCTCGAGTAGCGGGGCAATATACACGCAATTTTTTTGAATCATGCACTTATTGACGCGTTTCTCCACGTGCATGAGTGCCACACGCAGGGGTGATACCCAGTGCCTAAGGGAATACTTAGGCAATTTTTTTTATACATAGATTGTTTTGTTCGTTCTTTATACAATTAACTTACATTAATTTATAAACCGCAACTTCAAAAGAGGACGCCTCACAGTTGTAGGCCATTAATCCGGTACAAGGGTGCACCAGTCCGACAGATCAAAACTGGCTTCTGAAAATATATCGAAAGTTAGCTCACTCCCTTTTAATGCGGGTAATTTTAACAGATAAAACGTCCAAAGCTCTGAAGGCACGAGTTCAATTCCTAAAGACAGATAAATTCATAGAATTTCTAGGACCTAGGTGTCCTTAGAAAAATATAGTAGAGACACTTATACAATAATGCTATTTACTGGAATATATTTGTGCGTCCGGGGCCTACCTAAACCTCTGAGCTCGTCTAAGAGCCAAGTCCAAGAGGATTTTTTTTTCTGGGATCTAAAGGCTCTCATAGCAAGATAAAGGGCCCGCCCTTAAACCTCTGGACTAGTGCCCAAGTTGCGTACCCTTATAACGGATTAATCGCACCCAACTGGGGAAGTGCACTTTTAGAGTTGTGGTTTAATTTCGAGAGCTCAAGAATTAAATTATAATAGCTATAAGCTTGTGATTAATATTTAATATGATTTGAATAACTCAGCTAACAATTATAGTAATTTTAATATATATGTATTTGTAATAATAACTATATTTGTAGTAAGCCTTATTATATAGGGAGTAATAAATTGGTTGTTACTCATATTTAGTAATAAATTGTAAGTAATTTATAGTAATTAGTAAAAAAATCACGAATTTTATTAATACCTAAAGTGGATGGATATAAAAATAAAGAAATGTGGGAAGGGTACACCGGAAGCTTTGTATGTCTCAGAGTTTAACGAATAAAAGAAGAAAGCAGTAGCTTGGATGCACCCATAAATAGCATGAATTCAAGTTGTACTTAATCGTTAGACGAGTTACAGGGAGAAGGGGGATTTTGAAGTAAATTTAGGAAGGGAGGTAATGAAGTTAAATTGTTTAAGACGAACTTATTAAAAATAGGCGAAGAAAATGCCATCTTTCCTGTCCGTATGAAGTGGCATGTTCAGTGGTCTATATGCATTTGAACGGGATAATTGAGAAAATGGAAGAAAAGAGTTGGTCTGAATAAAAGGAAACTTTTCGTTTGAAGTTCAAAAAATTTATGAAAAGCTACCTTAAATCGCGCACTGTCGAGAAGATGAGAAAATTTTACAAAACAGGGACGATAATTCTAAAAAAGTAGAAGGGTGGCTTTGTGCTGAAAAAATCCGATCTTAATTGAATCAAGCTGATATGAATATCTTATTATCTAACTGCGTATTGTAAGTGAATCATACCATTAACAACTATTTGTACACTTTTTATATTATATTTATTACTACTATTATTATTTTTAATTTTAATAATACTATTACTATTACTTTTAATATAATTATCAATATTGTTCTTTTTCGTGGCTTTTTTTACTTTAGCATAAGCAGGTTGCTGCCCTCTATGTTTTCTTCTTTCCATGAGGCTTAAGTAGTTAGTGGGCAGAGGGAGGAGTAGAGTTATTAACTATTAAAGAGCATTTCTTGGCGGTATGGGCCTCAGTTTTAATAGGAGATAATTTTTTGCAGTCCTTTCGATTCAATTTAGCAGCTGTTAGCTTTTTTCAAAGTTTCCTATTGAGGGTCAGAAAATTAGCATTTGTCTTTTGAGGTCGGCTTTCAAATAAGAGGGATTTCACAAGAGTTAAAATTTTTATGACGCACACTTCGTTATTATAGGTATTATAAATATTTATGCAGATATTTTTACCTTAAATATAAAAACATATTTACACTTTCTGCAGCTACTACCTGTGATAGTGCTATTCTAAAAATAACAGTTTTGCTAAAGAGTTTTTTAAACTTAAATATAAGAATTACAACATAGAAAACTTTAAAAAAGACTAAAATCTACCTAATTTTAAAAATTCGTAATAGGAATATTTCCAAGCATTTTCAATTTCCCGAAAAATTTTTATATTTTATTTTTATTTTTTTGTTTCACTTGAGTAAACTTTTAACAAAGACATCAATAGTTAATACCCACAAATATTCACACCAATTAACTCTCTCAACTTGATCAAAGGAGTGAAGGTGAAAATTATAAAACCATAAATACAGACTTGAAGCCTACAAAAAAGGTGAATTAAATATTAAGATGAAGGCATAACAATATACAATACAAGTTTTTATAATATTCTTGTACCAGTGAACTAATTTAGATGAGACTAAGTTTATGTTTTCGTTAAAAAAGAATATTAGCTGGCAAAGTTAAGAGAGTTTTAATGACCAAAGGAACATACCTTACAGATACGCTAACAAAAATATTGTCTTAGAGAGGGCTACACGATATGTACCTTTCGAACACTATATATACACATGGAAGCTATAATAATCTTCAAAATATCAATCCACTAATCATACCTTAACACATGAGAAATGGCGCATGTCCTGCAAAAAAGGAAAAAAAAGTAAACTTAACGCGCGGTATCCAGCTGCGAGATGGCGAAGACAAAGAGCCTGCTCGCTTCTCATTTAGGTACGACTTGAGCACCTCTTCAAGGTCTCTCAGGAAAACGACTATTTTAAAAAGAATACGTACTTATGCGAGGGTTTGAATTTATTAACAGAGAATTTAGAATGGCTTGAGCAATAAGAATAACCAATTCATTTACTTCTAAGGGTATTTTGAAACTGTTATTTAAAATGAAAACACAGAACTGGCATAAAATAATACTATAACAAACACACTAAGTAAACACAATAACACACTTTCACCTTAAAATATATAAATTTCGTCGAAGGTATTCAACTATAATTTATTTATTTTCTAAGTCATGGGTTCACTACGCAATATAGTGGTGAGCACTAGACCTAATGTCGCTTTCACCATATTCACGGCCACTATGAATTCTTAAGCCAATAACAAAAAAAAAAGTACTTTTTTTTTTTGTCTCCGTTAACGAAGCACTTACATCTTTTTAATCGGGGACAATATTAGAAATGCTGCAAGATACTGATAAATTGTTATTTTGATGCATCATAGAGCATAATATTGATACTAGCTCTACTATGGGTATGGGTCATAATTCAGATATCGATGAAAGGTTCTAAACAGTGGATATCTAAGCGAGCGATAAAAGTAAAATATGAAAAGTAACTTGTGAAGCTACTCAAAAGACTCTAGGCAAAGAAATTACAGAGCCAAGACTTAAATAAAATAAACTCCAAGATAAAACCAAATAAGAAAACTCGCGTTCTTTCTTACTACGACACTAAAGCAGTTAAAAAATCTTGATATGAAATACCTCTATTAATATAATTGTCATGAAGGCTTGGCAAAGCACGTCTTTTAAGAACTTCAGAGACCTTTTTACCATTAATAAGTGTAACAGCGAAAAAGAAATTAGAGCACATCTTTCGAGATCTTTTATACGCATAGCATTACAGGGACTAAGTTACGCGGTCATTTCCCACATTAAGTCGAGACATGATAGTAAAGTATTAGCAAAGACAACTTGAATACTTGAAGATAAGCATGCACATACTTAGTCAAAGTTAGAGGGGAGCCTTGTTATCGCCGATAAATCAAGTGCTCGAAACACGTGTTTAATATTTGTCCCACCTTTGCACATTTCGTATTTTCTCCTCTGAAGGTATATAAAAACCCTTCCTTTACGCTCTGGTAAACTGATTGCT